CTGTGGGAAGATTTTGTATATTCTCTTTGCCTAATGCCATTCTAATAATTATTTTTTTAACACGACAAAGTGCATCCTCTGTCAGAATTTATAACATGGCATTGTTTTTCATTTATCTATAGGAACTGATTCCTGAATTCTATTACCTCCCAGAGATATTTGTCAACAGCAACAATTACAATCTGGGAGTGATGGATGATGGAACAGTTGTGTCTGATGTTGAACTTCCACCATGGGCCAAAACCCCAGAAGAATTTGTTCGCATAAACAGACTGGTAAGATGGCTATCTTCTATTGTCTGTCAAGTAACATTTGTCTTGCAAGATTCTTCTGAAATGGTTTGGATCTTTGCTTGCAATATATAGCTATTTATAATGTACGTAGGACTATGGCTGAAATAATTTGAAGAAATGTTAGATTTACAAGTTTTGAAGAAAAAAGGCATATAGCATTGCTCATTCTTTAGAATTGCTCAAAGAAAGTTTGAGTGTGGTCTAAATACAGAGGAGATCTTAGCCTATTTGTATGTCAGCTCTTGTGGTGCTAAAGAGCTAATAAAATCATCACTTTACAGAAGACTTGAAAAAGCTTATTTAATCATGGAAATATTTGTCACTCTGATTACTTAAATGTAATTTTAGGGTTTTTTAATTTTAGTATCCCTTTAACTCCAAAGATTAGTGAATGCCTCAGGAAAGAAAGCTGCATTTTAAATCTTCTGCCACCTCTTCCATTTCTTCCATTAAATTGATATTTTTCCAAGCGGTTTTTACAAGAAAATAAAACTGAATTCTCCATTGCCTGCTTCCTTCCCCAAACCTGTATTACTGTTTTCTTCCCTGTTTTGGAAAGTTCTGTTGTTAAACTAAGGACTTCTTTTTTTTAAATAAATCTTGAAAAATGATGTTGCAGTTTTCATGTGGTAGTCAGCTAACTGGGAAATACTGAATTAAGGCATGGAAACTGTACAAAACTTTTCAGATACCAGACTTAGACTTGATAACGTCCTGGTATTCCTAAGTTAGAAAATGGGAATTGAAAAAGTTCTGTTGTTGGCAGAATATCAGACCTGATATTCATAAAACTGCAGAACAGTCACATCAGAAGAAATCTGTGATTTATAAGTTGTCAGAATGCTTTACACTGCACTTTTACTGGTCATGTGATACCGTGGTCTTCAGAAATGTTATTTGGCCTAGATTTCTGCAGGCAGTTGTGGGGTGCACCATAATAATCACAAATTATGTTAGGTGAATTTAGTGTTTTGCTTCATATAGAAGTATGTGCAAATTCTATTTAAATGAGGTATGAAATACACTAACATTTAGCAGGACTACTTGGCAAACCACATTCAAACGCAACTTTTGATCTTAAAGTTGCGCTGATAGGTAGTAGGTTAGGGAGTCAGCCTGACACCTTTCTGAGCTTGGCATGCGTTGGTGATGCAGGATAACCTGAGAAATGAAAAGCTGTGTTCTTAAGCAGACTTGTCAAAGACAGCCTGTGGCCTTGATCTCTCACAACTGTGGTGTTTTAGCTTTTGCCTAAAATACAGTTCTCATTCTGTTGATTACAGATCCGTCTTTCCCCACTGTGAAGTTATTCTCCGTCCTAATCCTCCGCTAGGATTTTAGCTCTTAATTTTCTTTTCCTCATTTCTAGCCTTGGTGCCAGGTTTTTCTCACCCTCACCTCTCTGTACACTCTGACCTACCCTTCCCTCATCTTTCCATCATTTCCCAAAGCCTTTGCTACTACTGTCTGCCTTCCTTGCAGCTCTCTTTGATATCTCTCACTTGTGCTATATACTCAGGATGAAGTGCTTCATCAG